CATCAGGGTGGGTGTCCCACCCCAGGACTATAGGCACCTAGGAGGCTGCAGTGCCTGACACAGAGGCTGGGGGCGGGGGGAGGGGTCGGAGAGCTGTTCTGGAAGTTTCAAAGCAAATGGAGGCTCCAGTTTGACCTAAAGGCAAATCCCACCAGAGCCTGCTGGGATGTGAGAAATGTTGACAGAGCATCTGGGACGAGCCTGGAGCTGGTGGATTTTTAAACCTGTGCCAGGAATTCTCAGCAAATCTTCTGTAAGCATGAGTAGCCACCTCCATCTCCCCATTTTTTAAGCCAACTTGATCATGGCGAAGATCCAGAACTTATCATTTCCAGCAGTAAAGGACCCAAGTACATACTGTTTTCCTCCACCTGAACTATGCATCCCACCCATGGAAGCAAGTTTTAAACTCTTTGCCATTTTCCTCTGATGTCAACCTCTACCATTGTCCCTGTCCCTTCCTTCTGTACACAGGACTCTGAAATTAGATGAGGTTAGGAGGCCTTTCTGAGTCTTCTAGTGCAGTAGAGCTGGGATGCACTCTGAGTGTCAAGTGAGGGAGCCCAGCTCATCTGTCAGTCATGGCTCTTTTGCCATTCCATAGAGGGGTGTGAATGCTCCCTAAAGAGGCTGGGGCTATCATTTAGGATGTTCTTGCAACTCAGATGATGAAGGTAAAAGAGCCTCTCTGGTTCCTTGAAGAAGGAAAGAATTCAGATGAGAATCATTGTCCTTTCTTTTCTCCCCACTCTCTGTCCACAGTGAGAACCTGGTAATAAAGAAGACTCTCAGATGAGTAGGAAGGGCACAAGAGAAGAGGGTCTCCCTCCTTTCTCAGTCTTTAGAGAGAGAGGAATTGAAAAGTTCCTGATGCTACCAGGGGAAACATGGACCTCAGTAGAGAAGTCTCATCCTAGTGTGGGGAGTCCATAGAAAGGAAGGACAGGCCCCTTCATGAGGCTGCAGGGTGAGCAAGCCAGGGCTGATACAGTAGTCAGGACAGACCAGTCTCAGAAGTCCACAGGACACCTGCACTCCAGGAAGGACCAGCACTTAAGCAGGAATTCTACTACCATAAAGCAGTTCCTATCTCTGCTGTCCCATTTATATAGTAAAAATCAGCATTTCCTAACATACAAAGTTGTTTTAAAGATCAAACGCCTGAAACTGCTTTCAAGAAATTGAGTGTGAGAGCCACAAGCAAGATAAACACGCTGTCAGGTCAGACACACTCTCCATGTGGCCTCTTCTGGTCTTGAGGCATAAGTAAGTAGGCAGGTGGCAGCCATTACCAAGTCCTTCCACTTCCTCTCAGGGAAGGGGTGTGTGGAACGTATAGATTCTGACGTGCAATGACAGACCCTCAGCTTGCAGAAAAAAGGGTTGGGAACAAGTTGCCCCAGTTCCCATGCTCATAAATCTGTGCCCCGCTGTGCACTGGTCACTCTTCCAGTCTGGGTGGGGCTGAGCCCCTGCTGTGGCTTTGGTCCCAGTCTGATGAGATTTTCTGTTGAAAAAAACCACACCCTGAAAACTTCCTCTCTTCTCTTTGCCTCCGCACATCCATGCGTGTCAGGTTTTTGACTTTTCCTCCTGGCCAGCATCTGACCTGTATTTCAAATTTGCCTTGGTGAAACATTTGACAAGATATGAAGAAATGGCACATATATTTAGAACAAACGAAACTGTTTCACTGGGCTCAGCAACCTTCCATTTTATTCAGGAGAGAATTATAGTATGTCTTACTAATTGCACGGTTAAAATATTAGTTAGATGCCCTTGCAATATTCATAGGCAACTAGCTGCCATTAAATCATGTAAATGTACAAGATGGCTACATTAAGACCCAAAACAGTTCAGCCCAGGCCCAAACTACATCTAGTGTACATTTCATATTTGTAATTGGGCTGAAATATTCATTTTTACAGGAAAATTAAATATATTTAGCTTTCATTGATAGGTTCAGTGTTCTAAGTAAATGCATTCAAAAATGGGGAAAATTCCACAGAATAATGAGAGTTTGAGTTAGAAATTTATCTTCACCCTGTTTAGGAGTCTAAAATTCAGGAAGCCCTGTCTTTCAGAGACAATGATGTGAAATTATTTCAGCTGGGAGATCAGAATCATTTTGTAGGCAAAGCAGAAGCTTCCAGTAGATAAAGTTTTGAGTGCCCGGTATTTATTTATCCATGGATACAGCCCTAATGAAAGATCATAAAGTTTAAATGGGTACATAGTTGGAAAATAACTATAGTCCTCATAAAAACCAAATAGCAGCATCTATGGATGAGATGTGTGAAGCCAAGGGGACAAAGTCGAAGCAAGAGGTTAAAAGCAAGGGCAAGGACTCATCCCAAGGGATGGAATTTATAGATGCTGCTGAGAGTCCCTGGGGAAGGGTCGGGGAGGAGCTGCCTCCAGAGAAGAGATGACCTCACAGCCCTGCTTCTCCTCTCTCTCCACAGCCATGAGGATCTGCGAGGATTGTTTTCCTCTGAGCTTTTGGTTGGGGATCCCTGACAATATTCTGTCATGAATGTGAGGCAATGGGAACTGGCTGGACCTCACTGCCCAAGTAGGGACTGTTCCCTTCTCTGTCACCTGCCCTCTATGTTACTATGCTCAGAGGATCCTGGAAGTCAGGTGAGGAGCAGTGAAAGGCAGGGCTGGGTTCCTAGAGCTGGAAGTCACCTGTACAGGCTCTGTGCCTTTCCTGAGCATAGCTGGGTGGGGTCATGTCCTGACTAGGTATGGTAAGAGTGACCTTGGATGTTGATGCTGGAGCCTAACTGTACCTGTGGGTTCACATCCATGAGCACAAGGCCAGAAAGGATGCAATGGGGTGGCATATGTAAAAGGGCCAACACAAGGCCTGGTACAGGTTGTTCTCTCTCCCTGTCAGCCGAGGCCAATCTCTGAGGGTCACAGAAAGAGGAACATTCCGTTCCTTCCAACAGAATCTTGTACCTGATTCAACTCTGCCCCTCGGCAGACCTCAGATGTCTGGAGACAGCTGTCTGTGTTGTGAGCTTTGCCTTCCTCACCTCCTCCCAGGCCAGGGGCTTTACTTCCTCATTGGGCTATGCCCCCTGGGCTCCCTTGTTCTCCATCCTCCCACTCCTCCCACATCACATGCTTCCTCCCCTCAAGTTCGTTGCCTCTCCTGGCTCCTCTTGGCTGTGACAGGCTGCCCTGACATCTGGTCAAGCATCCCAGGATGCCCTTCTGGTACCTCTATCACCTGTCAAGACTCTTGGACACCCCCAGTGAATCCCTGGAGGTCAGAACCAGAGAACCTCCATGTTCTCACTGCAGCTTCCAGCACTTGCCCTTTGTTGGAGAACAATCTGTAATGGGCCAGTGGGCTCTGTCTTGGGCTCCTGAATACCAGTCTCCCCCACGCTGATTGGCTTCCCATCCCTCCTAAGCCTGACCCCCATCATGGCCTGAAGAGAGTGTGCGGGCAGGTGACAGGAGGCATGTTGGCTAAAGGGAAAGGTGGAAAGAAAACAACCCTGACTCCTCAGGATGTCGTTTTCCCCACAGCCCACTCTGTGGTTGAAGAGAAATAGGCACAGTCCCGAGAGAGTCTTTGCTGAATGACTGCACACATTCTTCCTCTAAAAGAACAGGGAGCAGGTTATTTTCCTCCTAAAGGAAAACTTTTACTGTGTAGACAGCCCTCACTCTCTTCTCTTTACTTCCTCATTCACTCATTCCACAAATAACTAGTGGGTCCTTTCTGTTCTTGTGTGGAGAATAACGCAGTGAATAGACAGTAAACTACCTGCTCCTGGCTGGACTGGGGTAAGGGATCAGAAATAAATAAACAACAGAGACAGGTCTTGGATGGAGATGGGGATGTGGTGGAAGGTTCCTTGTGGTTCAATGGGTGCCCAAGGAAGGCGTCATGGAGGAAATGACATTCAGACCAAGATCAGGTACAAGTGGTGGTAAGCCCGCAGACTCAGGGATTTCATCCCAGCCGAGAACTGCATTCTCTGTTTAAAGAAAAGACCAAAGGTCTGCAGGGCTAGGGAAGGAGGCTGAGGGAGAGGGGGAAGCAGGTTAAGAGAGGGGTCAAGTACACATCTTATGCATTGCTTTGCCATGGTAGAGACACACGGTTGGTGTTTTGTTTGGGATAATTGTGTGGGACTGTCTCTAGGCTTCGAGAACCAAACGTAAAGAGTACTTACAAGTAATTGTGCTAACCAAAAGTGCCCACTCCAGTGCCCTTCGGGATTAGCAAGGCTTTGTGGAGTAAGGTCAAGTTCCTGAACTCTATTCTAAGTGTAACAGAAAGACACTGGGGGGTTAGAGTCCAATTTACATGATTGAAATTGATACAGACTGCTTGGCTGCTGTGTATCGAAGACCCTAGGGAGTAAAGAGATGAAAGGGCAAGGCCAAGTAAGAGGCTCCCAGTAAAGCAATGATGGCGGCAGGAGGGAAGAAGTGGATGGGTTCACACGCTGTACTAGAGGAAGAGTTTGTAAGACTTCCTGATGTGAGGGCTAAGGAGAAGAAAAGAAACAAAAGTGATATCAAGATGATTCACAGAAGCCGTGGAGAGATCAAAGTTTTACTTAGACATGGGAGAAGACTGGAAAGGACTCTTAAATGACTCTGTAGAGGCCATATCAAGAACACAGCTGAAAAGCTGGTTGTGGTATTGCAGATGCAGGAGAATCATGGTTGCAGTTTAAGGCCAGCCTGGGCAAAACTAGCAAGAGAGACAATAAGCAGGGAGAGAGGGTAGTTAACTGCAGCAAGAAAATCCTTCACAAATTGAGGGGCTTCACTCCCAGATGACGGAGGGACAATTACTGACATCAACAAGGCAGAGACTAGTACTTGGGCATAGGCATGAGTAGGTTGATGGTCCTGATGGAGAAAATATAAGAGAGATCCTGATTGGTTACTTCTGCTTTCTCAGCAATCTCGGAGGCAAAGTCACCCACATGGACTGGTTTGTACAGGGGAGGATAATGCACACCATGACGTAAGTTCTAAACTTACAAAGGCCACTTGCTTATCCAGAAAGATTTAGCTGCTATTCAAAGGGTGCCTAAATAATCGGGTGCAGATACCCCATCACATATCAATGGAATTTCCTGAGAAGAATGCCATCCTCGATACAGTGAGACCATGTCAGATATGACATCTGCCTTCTTTGAAACAAATTCAGAGCATCAGTAAAATAAACCCAAAGTGTAAGAAAAATAGGACCATATGCAGAAGTTTATAACTAAGAACATATGTCAGTGAAAAGATAATAGCATATTTTATTATTAATTATTTAAATCAACACATAATCCATTTGCCCCAAATGCTACCACCTCTCCTAGTATCTAAAAATAAGTACCATATTTTATTGAATCTAAGACCTTCAGTTATAGATGAACCATTATTTCATGCACTGTCAAGAAAGAATCATATGCTTCCAATTAACTGTGAGTGTACCATGGTGAAACGCAAGCCCCACCTGACTGTCCTCCAGGCTTATGTCTAGAAGGGTGGTTCTCACCTGGTGATGCTTTGGGGCCCACTTCCCCCAGGGGACATTGGGTGGTACCTGGAGATATTTTCAGTCGTCACAGCTGGGGCAGCAGTATCTAGTGAACAGAGGCCAGGGATGCTGTTACATGTGCTGAATGGCAACCACAACCAAGAATCACCAGCCCCAAATGTCAGCAGTCTAGAATAAACACAGAGTGTTGCCGTACCTTTTCCATTCTGCCTCAATGAGCACCATCACCTTCTGGATTTTCCTTGGCTTTTATTGCCCAAGAACATTGATCTTAAGCACCAGGCTCATCAGAATGCATGTATGAAAACTATAACAAAGCATTCTAGGAGCAATGAATTAGTGCAATGATTTATTTCAATAAATTAGCCTAAGCTCTGCACAAGCCTTTCTTTCTCCTACTCTAGTATAAAACCAAGAAAATGTACTTGGCCACATTCTGCATTTTAATTATACTATTCAGAGCATATAACGGTTATATGAATTAAGAAGCAGTAAAATTAAATCGATTTTTCCATATATGCGGAGAGATGTGGGCTTTAATATGTATTATAATTACAGCCAATGAAATCCATTGCAGAATGCTTTTTAGACACAAATACCCTAAACTGCACTGAGCTGCTAACTTTTTTCTAGCTTGTCATTTGTTTTTTTGCAAAAATCATTTAAGCATCTTTCTTAGTTCTGGTTAAGGCAAGTTACCAAACCCAATAGCAATAAAGTTGTTCCTTAAAGGAAGTATCTCAATGTTATAACACCAAGCTCTAAGCATTAGAAAAGAAAAGGTCCCATTTTGTCCTTTCATTCCAAAAGATGTCTGATTTGATGTCCTTAACTTCTGAGGGTGATGCAGAAGCATCTCTGAACATTTCAGTGTTGACCAATGAGAAGCAAAAGCCAAAAAGAATTTGCCCTTTGCTTTCACTCTGATGTCAGGAGGAAATATGTGAAAAGGGCTGTGGTGACTCTAAGACAGTTTCATCACGACAAGAGAGTAAACTTTCAACGAGAAGGCCAGTAAATTCCAGCACTGAGCTGGCGCTAACCTTCCCTGTAGGTGTTGGCAGTGGGTCTTTGCGTTGGCTGGTTGCACCCTCACTGTCTGCCCTGGACATCACTGCAGGATCAGTCACCCAAAAAGACAGTCAGTACCAGCATCCTAGGGAGCCTGCACTAGCAGAGTTCTTCTGAGACCCTACTCTCTCCTCCCACTCTGTTCTTCCTGGTGGGTACGCAGCCACCACCAGCATTTCTAAACACTAAGCACTCAATGTTCTCTTTCTCCCCCTACTCCACTACAAAATCTGGTTGAAAGAAAAATCTTGCCTAAGACATTTGCAGGCTAAGGGCCATGTGCTGCTGACTTGGGATGTTCTGACGTTGATTCAGGAATGAAAAGCTTGGCTTCTTGTCTGCAGGAAGTCAAGCGTCAGGAAGAGGCTGAGGCGCCAGCCCAGAAAACAGAACTTGGTGATGACCTGAGCTCTAGCTCAGTCCTCTCCCAGCAGCTTCCCAGATAAATTCAAGATCAGAAAAAGAATCCTTCTACTTAAATGTAGCTGCAAATCCCATGAGCACAAATGTCCTCAGACAATGGGTCCTCCAGTGACCAAATGGTACACTAAATACCTCTTAAACCAGCTTTCTTTGTTGTGGTTGAGTTTTATAGCAGAGTCATTTTAATTTACCTCTTCAAGGCCTGAAGAGGTAAATTAAAATGCTTACCACTCCATAATGTCTATGACCTTACATGTTGTAAGGTCACTCTTTTGTCAGTTGCCAGTGCAGGAGGAGAGGTCTCTAACCCTCAGTCATTGTTCCAGGTGGTCTTTTGAGATTGGAGAGGTAAGTCCAGAATTCCAGGAGGAATTACAGTACCGAATTTGAGAAGGAACAGCATTCAAGGTTTCTTGTGATTTCCTTTGTCAATTGAATCTCTACTGAACACCCATTCTTCCAGTTTGCTGCTTACCAAGACAACCCAAAGCCCAGCCAGTGTGCAGATGAGGAGGCCAGTCTCAGCTGGTCTGAGTGGGAGGTCTCTGTTCTGTGAGTGTCTCATCTTGCTCCTGGGAGCCACAGGCCCACGTGGGCAAGTTCTTCCCAGAACAGAGGATGTGCAAGACAGCAGGTGCCTGTTACTGCATAATATCTAAAATCTACTGACTAAGGCAGGTTACATAATTCCAGTGTTGAAGAGTGGGGAAGTGTTCTCTGTCCCCCATGATGGCAGACAGGAAGCAGCAAATATGGCTGACCAAGGATCTAATCCAACCAGACCAACTAAGAACGGAACTCTCTCATCAGCTTCCCTTGTTGGAAGTGTCTATACTGGCCAAATGGATGAAGGGCTAGAGCAGTTGGGTTAGGCCTGAATAATTACAAAGTACATTCTGGAGAACAAGGTGATCTCACAGTCCCTTGGGAGTCAGGTTTAACTGACAGACCTCAAGCATCACTGGATTTCAATTTTTAACCAGATTTAACCATGGATTGTACATGCCAAATTACTTCCAAATGCCTTATTTAAACAAATAAAGGGGACATCAATATACCCAATGATCTCCTTAGAAAGTATAGGAGGTCCAAAGAAGAACAAGTCCTTGGGATAAAGTAGACACTTGAAAGGAGAACAAAACATTTTAAAGCCATGGAGGTGTGTGGCTCAAGTGTTAAAGTGCCTGCCTAACAAGCTCAAGGCCCTGAGTTCAAACTCCAGTACTGCCCAAAAAATTTCAAGGTAATATGTGGTTAAGAATCTAAATGATGCATTGAGGTGAGAGGCAAGAGTCATCATCAATAGTTGTCTTGCAGGATCTCTGAGGGAAGAGAGACTCTAGAATTGCTTAACTGGCCTGAACTGAACATTTAGGAAAGAAATAATATTTGTCCCTCCCCAAAAGGCCCAGCTTGTGGGGATAACATCTGAGAATTTTCAAGTGGTGATGTGGGGAAAGGATGCCAAGCGATTCAAAGGCATCCAATATCAGAGACAGGGAATTAGACTTCACAAGTTGAGTGTGTGTGTCTGTGTGTGCTTGTGTGTGTCTGTGCATGTCTCTGTGTGTGTGTGTGTGTGTGTGTGTGTGTGCATGTGTGTGTATGATGGTTTGGTTGGGAAGAGAGAGCTTGAATTTCATAAGTGTCATCTCTTCCTGTCCTGAGTGGGTGAACCATGTTCAAGGTTCATGCATGGAGGAGTGGTCTCTGAAGTCACACAGAACTGGGGTCACAACCTGCTGTCCCCTTCACAAGCTATGTGACTTGAAAAACTGTTTAACCTTTTTGGGACTCAGTCTCAACTGAGAATGGAATTAGTAACAGCACTCTCTTAGATCTGTAGTGAAGAGTTAGTGACCTGACCCACAGAAGTCAGCTGCAGCAAGCATTCAATAATGCCAGTAAGTGTGGACTGATATTATTTTGTATTTAGCCTAGTGTGTGTTAGTCAAATATTTTTAGTTAAAGAGACTAGTTTATATGGGGGGTTGTTTTATGAAAATGGAGTATCAAAGAAGAGAAATGCATTTTAAGCATGGCTGGATCCAAATGTTTAACAATATCATTCTCTCTCCCTGACTCCTTCCCTCTCCCAATTGTTCACTCTCCATTTCTCTGTCCACCTTCTTCTTCTTTCTCCATCTCTTTCCTCTCTCTCTTCTCCCATTTCTCTCCCCATTTCTCCATCTTTCTCTGTCTTGCAATCTCTCTTTCCATATAGCTCTTCATCTCTCTCCCCACTTGTTTAATATAATTTTGTCTCTCATCTCTCTGACCACATCTTTTTATCTCTCTCTACACCTCAGTGTCTCTCTATCTTTACATCGATCTTCTTTTTCTTTTTTCTTTTTGCTTCTTTTTTTTCTCCTTCCCTCCCCATCACTTCCATCCTCCTCTGTCTTCATTTTAGGTTCTCATTTCTGGTGTGTGTCTTTTCATCAGGCAAGCTTTCTCTGTGAAGTAGCAAAGATGACCTCTGGCACCTTCATACATACCTAGTCCATAATGATATAATTTTCCAAAGATTTACTTTTTATCACAACTAACAGTGCACTCTATTTAAAGCATCAAATCATTTTAAGAAGCACTTTATGAAAACAGTAGTCTCTGTTCCCTGCTCAATTTCCACCCCCAGAGCCATCACTTTCAACCTTTTAGAGCTGATTAACTTTGTATTTACCTCTAAATAACAGTGCATTTTGCTTTCTCATTTTTCAACATTATATCTTGTGTTCCCTCTATAGAAGTTGGGCAATTTGCTTCACCACAGAAATATACTCATCTCAGTAATTATGTTGTTATAACTATTTAAATGCTTCCCCAGCTGAGCCAACTAGTTTATTTTATTACTTTTCCTTCATATTTAATTGTTTTTACTGGACTGAGTATAGGTCCCTCTTTTTCTTTTGCTAAGTTTTCTATGGATTCATCAGTAATTCAATCCCCAATTCTCCAGTTGTCTCAAAGCATTCAGATATTCTCTGGCTTTCACCCTCTTGCAGAAGTCACCCCCAGAGACTTCTAAGTTATCCCAATCTTCTTGTGTCCCTCCAGGTCTGGTGTATAGATCTCACTGGGCACCTCTCTTACTTGCCATCCTGGGAATTTCCTTACTTTGTCTCCTGTGTTCATCCCTTGGATGTGCAGCTCCCACTTTCTGCTCTATAGGTTTATATACTTTGGTGGAGCACATCCTGAAGCAGCTTTCTGAGAAAAGGTTTATGGAAAGTATAATTTTGCGTTCTTACATATCTGAAAATGTTCACCATAGTCTTACACTTAATGAAGAAGAATAAATTCTGGTTATTCAAGACTTGTTGGGAATAAATTCTAGATGGAAAGTATTTTTTAGAATTTGGAAAGTATCGTATTATCCTATTTTTGAGAGGTTAAAAATATTTGTGAGTTGAATCTTTGTACATAATTTGGAAGCTGATAAAATCCAATTTGGTGAAACAGAATGATGTATATTGGTATGGGTTGAATTTTACCCATTTTCTGGGTATTTGACAGGTATTTTCTACCTGAAATTCACAGTCTTCTGTTATGGGAAATGTTCTTAAATTTTTTTTAATTGGTGATTCCCTGCCCCCTCATTCCTTCTATTCTCTTTTTTAGAATGTCTACCATTTCTGTGTTGGATCTATTAAACGAGTCTTATTCTTATTGTTCTTATTTTTCTCCTTTGTCTGTTTTTTCTAATGTCTGAGAGATTCATTTAATCTTATCTTTCAATCCTATTGAGTTTTCTTTAAATTTTCATTCAATTTTTGTTTTCCAAATTTTTTCTTTTATTTATCTTTCTTTTCTTGTTTTATGGATAGAAATGACATCTTCTCTTTTCTCTTCAAGAATATTAAGTTGTTCTTTTTAAAGCTTTTTTTTTCTCTTTCCTTTTCTTATTCCTTTCAAGTTTCCTTTTACAATTTGTCTTGGTCTCCATCTTTCATGGCTAATTACTGTTGCTAGAGAGGTCCTTTACCATCTTCTTTGTCCTTACTGGGTTTTGACTTTTAAATGTCCCTTATCATTGTAGTTGTGTCTGGGTGATCTGATTATATTTAGTAGTAGGGACCAAAACTCCATAGAGAGATTCTGTGTGTTACTAGGATTCTCAGCTGAGGATTTCGGTGCCCTGCAGTTGGCTGAGATGCTTTTATTTGGAAACCCTCCTGTCTTTTGATCTCTAGATTTTTCCTTTTGGGCTGGACAGACAGATGACTCAGAGAATGGTTTCCCATTCACTTTTCTTGAGGGTAGAGACTTTTCTGGAAGTGTGCTGGGAGCTGTGCCAGGGAAGAGATACGTGGGTCTGATACTTGCCTGAACTTTGTTTTTAGAAGGGTTCCTGCTCACTCCACTATGTTTAATTCCCTCAGTCAGGAGACGTTCTGTTTATTCCCTCCTTAGAGAAATTCTCTAGTTTTCTGCAAATCCAGGTGTCTGAAATCAGGCAGTTGGGAGGAAATGTGGTATTCAAGTAATTCTTAAACAAACTTCTACCTAATTCTTCTTTCTGGTGCCATCTTTACCACATGCAGAAATAGCTAGTTCCAAGCCTACTTGAGTCTGTTAAGGGTCTGTCGTAAGCACTTCTCAGATCTACCCACTGAATTGCTCATCACTTAACAGAGTGATATTCTTCACCATTGTTTTGATTTTTCTGTATTTATTTTAGCTAGGTTTAAGAAAAAATCAAAAGAAAACCTATTTATACGATCCCTTGGTGCTGTGAAAGTCCTTTGTCTCCAACCGTCCATATGATGCCTCCAAAAGAACCCTGAACAAAGGTGTTTGGATCCCTTGCCCCAATCCCCTACCTGGCCCTGTTCCTGTGATCTGGGTTCTCTCTAGAGCTCAGGTCACCTGCTTTTCCTTGTGATAATCAAACTGGAACGATATGATTGACAGTTGCATGAGAATCATGTAGAGTAGAAGTTACCAAAAGAAAAGAGTGCAGCACTGACAAATAGGCAGCAAAATGTGCCAGACACAGAGCAGCTTTGTCCTCCAAAAGGCGCTGATCTTGAGTTGCAGGGATTTTCCTCGGATGCTTTGTATTCAAAAAATGTTGGCACCATCTCAGAAACACTGGTTATCCAGGCAGAAAGCACTTCCCTTGGTGTTTTCCTCCATTGTAAGTCTCAACAACATCTGTTCACGCTTAGTGCTCTCGAATCAATTGATTACTGCAAATGCCCATTGGCGTGCAAGGGCAGCCAAGGCCTCAGAGAAGCCCTTCCCTGGGGAGAAATGGAGGTCACATGGACAGGTGTTCACAGAACTCTGGACCTGGGAGTTGGAGGGTGCCCATGGATGAGGATGGACAGTGTCCCTACTTGTCTTCAAAGATGACTGCAAAGGGGTGTGCCATTTATTTTCCCATTTTAACTGAAGTCCTAAGGGAAGGGGCTGTAGGGTAGGACACTTAATCTGCATGCATTGTTTGAGTGGACATTGCCCTTTAGTCCTGCAGTGATTTCTTTTGTACCAGTCTCTGAAACAAGAGATGTTCAAGGAAATAATGTCATCCTTCTCAAGTCTTTAAACTCTAAGCTAAAATAATACTTTTGGCTCTTTTCAAGACCTCTGGCCATCCATGTCACAATGATGCAGTGTAGAGGAGTGAGCTTTTGAAGGGCATTCTTAATGGCAAACTTTAAAGGAAGTCAATTGCTGGTTGCTCAGTGACAATGCCTGTATGTTATTGTCCTTTTCCTACTTAACAAGAACAAAAGGCCACAGCCAGACCAACTAATCACACGAAATGGGACACAATGACATTTTTACTTGTGAACTTTTTTTTTCTGGTATAAAAGGGCCACCCAAGGAGGATCTGATGGTAAGTGGGAGGAATTTGGTGACAAGACCAACCATCTGCACGGATTTTGGAAAGTCCAAAATGATTAGGTAAAAATACTGCATTTTTTGCAAAGAGAAATGTTGACTTTTTATATGTTTGCTAACTTATACTTGCCTCTATGAGACTAAATCTAGGGGTTTTTTTTCCCTCTACTCTGCAGCTCACTGAAACTCAGTCTTCTCTTGCTTCTGTCACTCTCCACAATGCCTGTGTTTTGGTGTCATCCAGTTCTGTCTTCTAAGGTAAGGATTTCACCAATATTTTTAATGTTTGAATAGATGACTGGAATTGTGGAGTGTCTGAGTTCAAAATAATCTCAAGGAATATGTTACAGAGAAGTGATTTCCTTTATTGCTAGAGCTTTCAATGAAGAAAGGTATAAACAGATTAATGAAATCAGTAAAAGGAAAGATTTATAAGAAATAAGTAATATTGGCCTGTATTAAATTTGTTGTGAAATATTTAGGGTTGATCTCTTGAATCATAGGGAAATATTCATTTTGATGTAAAACGTTAAAGTTTTTTCCATGACAATTTATTTGTTCTACATTCATCAACTCACAATCACAGTGAATATTTAGCCATTAACATTATATAAAAAACATAAGGGTCATTTTTTGGAAATAGTGAATTTCCTTAATTTTATAAAATATAAGGGCTTTTTCCAGATGCAGAATATAGACAACATGTTAAATCCCAATGAAATACTACATAAAATATTAATTCATATATTTATTCAAGAGTATTGCTACACTTGCTAACTATATTCCTTGAACTGTTCATGACATTCAGAAAATGAATGACTTTTTTTAGGATATCTGATACTAGTTCTATATGATATTTCATTTGTTTTATGTCAACATTTTGCTTGACAATTTAAAATATCTTTGGTTGTTGATGGCATTGCAAACTTTTGCTTTTTTTGCTAAAAATTAACTTGTCACATTGTAATTACTGAGATCAATGCAACTTATGTAACCACTTTTAGGATAAAGAGATGTCACATAAATTGTAAATGATAAATCTGTATCCAACATAATGATTCAGTTATTTATATTATTTGTCCTCTCACTAATCCTTGCATCTGTCATTTTTCTATTTCCTGTTTACTTAATATAGCTTTTCTTTTGCCTGTTTTACTCCTCTGAGCATTCAACACTAATTTAGTCATTGATTCGATAAGATACCACATTGATCAAGTTGATGAGTCACAGTCCATAAATTGGTATATTTTCTCAGGTGGCCTCCTAATTACTTTCTCTTCTGTCCTCCAAAGGTTTTCTCATGACATTTTTGTTGAACAAGAGGCACTTGTCTGCAGCTCTTTCAAAATTAAGGCTGTTCTTTCTTCTAACGTACTTAGGAGACCTCCTTGCCCGTAACTGAAAGGCTTCTTCTTTCACTACATTTCCCACATTTCTGGTTTTGCACATGATGATTTTGTTCTCATTATAACGCACCATGTAGCAACAGTGAGGATGATACTTATGTCAAGTTGATTGTTTAGGATGAGTGATTAGGCAATTGAGTGACATAGGATTTTATAATTTTGTTTGCAATTTCATAAAGTCCGTTAGCCAGGCAAGAACACAATAGTATCCTATGAGTGGGTCTTCCCCGGTACAAAATGCCTTCAGATCAGCAAAGTGCGTCAGAATCTTCTTCAGGGAGGGTTTGGAGATCTCAGAATCAGGACCCCATCTTTCTTTTGTAGTGTAATGGTGGCATCATGAGCATTTCTGAGAAGACCTGGATTGCTTCCCTTTAGGCAAGGACAAAAGACCCCTCCTGCTGGGGATTTAAAATAGATGGCATTTATCTATCATGTTTAGGAAAAAACACATGGTGGTGACTAATGAAGAGGATTTTTAAATTGGTTTTCCTATTTTCATAAACCAGTGTTTATGAAAGTGTCTTTGATTACTTCCAGATCAAAATAGGATAAACAATTCCTATTGACCCATGAGCCAATAGGAATTGTTTATGTGGGTACTCTGCCTGGTGGAGACAGACCTCCAAAGAGCACCCCACCACCAGAGCAAAGAATTCCCCAGAGGAAGCACTTTATGCATTCCAGCCCTATTTAATGACCCCCACATATAGTAACCTAGGGCCAAACTTATCTTCCTGCACCAAGACAGTAAAACGTGTAATTTTTACTTTGCAGTGTACCTCTTTATTTTTAATAAAATCATTCAACTCTTGCTCTATACAGTTGAGAAACTGGGCTTGGAGTCAGACTTGAATGACTTTACCCACAAGTCATGTCACTCTCTCATCTTAAACTGAACAATTAGTAGTGCCTGCTGCGTACAGCTGTTTTGCCGAAACAATAAAAAGGTGGTACAAAGAGCATGTCACACAAGACATCAGTCATTGCTTTTACTGTTGATGAGGTTTGTATTAGCACTATGGCAGATTGTTGTGATTCTTCTGAAACTACACATCAGAGAAAACATGACAAGCGTTGATAATTCTGAGTCCCCTCCTCTCCTGTCAGCACTGTCTCTTGGATTTGCCAGCTGTGACAAAGGACCTGACTGTTGCCCTAGTGCTTGGTTTCTTCATCTATAAAACATGGAGCTGAACTGCAGGGTCCTGAAACCTAGCTTGAGCTCCAAGGTTCCAGTCCTCTGTCTTCCACTACTCAACACCCTGACACTATCATACAGCATCCAGGCCTCAAGTCACAATGAGGACTCAAACTCCAGCCCTAGGTGACGATGTCAGGTTTCAGGTAGTAGGACTTCTTTCCAAAGAACCTCAGCTAGTAGCCTAGAACAGCACAATGAAAGCCCTGTGCTCCTGGGCGGGTTTTCTAAGTCAATTTTACAAAGCATTCCCAGGACTGATTACTGCCACCTGAAATATTCCTTATAAAATAACAGCAACAAGATTCCTGAGTCCAGTGCATGATATAAGTGCTGAATAGCAGCAATTTCATAAGTAGTAGAAAAATTAGGCAAGTGAATATCACTCCAAATAATATTTTGTATCTAGGTAAATAAAGTATACGTTATGTTTTAGCAAAGTTTCTGCCCTTAAGAAGATTAGATATATTGGATTTATTGCCATAAGATTTTGAAAATTATGACTGTTGAAATAAACTTTTAACCTTAAAGCTGTGTTCTCTCCCTCTTCCCCCCTCTGAATCACCAGGTGTCTGGAAAATCTGATTACATTCTCATCCTACTGAACAGCTGTCCCTCCAGGCTGGATGGGAGCGAGGGACTCCAGTTTCTAACAGCACTTTTGGAGAAGTCGTCAGTGAAAAGATCCTTTCGTAATGGAGTTGGCACAGGGATGAAAAAAACTTCCTTTCGAAGAGCAAAATGATGAATAAGTGTGCAAAGGACTCTGGGAGTTAATCTCAAACTATGTAGGGTGTGACTGATGTGCTCAAAGTCCATTGTACCTTTACCACTAAGTGCTGGTTTCCTCTCAATCCTCAAATATCTCTCCTCTCCCAACTGGTTCAGAGTAAATTGAGTTTTAAAAAGTCTAAGCCTGTCTCAAACTTCCATTTGTATGAGAAAAAAACTATTGTGTGCTCAGTTAGTAACTTCCCCAGATAGGGATGGACACATTTGCTTTGATGTTTTGATCTTAAATTGGCCAGAACATCTGAGCGTTTTTGGTCATGACATTGGTGTGTTTTTTTTCCTGCCTGTAATATTATGATATCATGATATTGACTACCAAAATGTAGGTGGATATTACTTTTTCTTTTAAATACAATATTTCAAATGACTTAGCTGGGACAATTCTTTTGAGCTGTACTGTTTCCAGCTGTAAGAGAGTCTTGTGAAATTCACCAAAAGTTAATATGAATGATATAACTCTATCACTCTATCAATTGATACCTGCAACGAACATGAGCAGAACTCTTGAAAATAATCCTTGCTTCCCTTTTCTAATTCTAAACATACTTAAATATGGATCGATGTTATGTCTTGGAAATTTGTTACCTTTTTAAATCTTAAAACATGAGACACTGCCAGTGACAACAAGGATACCAGAGAGCTGTTGGTTGCTGGTGGGATGGTGGGTGGGGGGTCCTTTGGGAGCCCCATTCCTCAAAACTCTGTTGGTTGACAACCCACTGCTCCTCCCAGGGGCGGTCCTCCAGCCCTCCATGGAAATGCTGGACATTGTTGTTTTCAAAAGGATAATGCACATTGCTGGACGTGTTATTTGCAAAGCGTAATTGTGATAAGTGTGTTCATACACATTGGATTTTGAAACACGCAGAGGACGATCCCTGAAAGCTACATGGACTTCCCAGACCGGGCACTTCGGCAGCTGCAGGACACTGTCCTCTGTCATTGGCTTAGGATAGAGACACAGAGTCCTCAGAATGCGGTGCTCGTGGTGAGCAGGTCTCACGGTAGCCAGGCAGGTCTGCTTAATCAAATATATTCTACAAGCAAGGGTCTTCAGATATTATGTTGGGAGGTTGCCAAGAATTCACCCAGAAGTATAAGGCCTCTAAGGTCTGGGGTTTGTCCTTGTTGTTTGTGAAAGCAGATGGTTTCGTGGTTTTGGTGTGTGCCTATTTTAATTTTTCCAGCCAGATTAGCATGAAATGGGAAGGGGTGAAGTAACATAATCTAGTAAAGGATCATTAGAAGAAGGGGTATTGGTTTGAAGGACCAAGGAACCTTGGGCTGTGCTCTCTGCCCACAGGTGTGCGCTGTCTCTTGTCCCCACAGTGACATTCTCCTCCCTGCAGACCTCCTGGTCTCTGAGACCTGTGTGTCTGTCCTCCCACGATGATCCCTCTGGGCTTTGTGATGTGCTACACGACCTCGCGACTCCAGCACCTGACACCCAGACCCACAACTCTGACTCCTGTTTGGGACAGAGTTTCCCTGCTGGTCTTCTCCACAGAGCCACAGGTTCAGAGTCCTGTGTCTAAGGCTGCCTCAGTGGGCTGTGGCAGGCAGGCCCTATGAAGGACTGTGGGAGAGAAGGAAGAGGAGGACAGCACACATACAGCTGTGTTCACTGCCTCACTCTCCCTCTGCTCCCTGGATTCAAAGGGGTACCTGTCATCTTCAGGTCTCTTGTTTATTTCACCACATAGTCCAAGTATAAGGGAGACAGATAGGCCTGAAATAATTTTTGAACATTCTTCTAAAGTAAATTCACATTTTCTTTCTAAGATCACCTCCCTCTCTTTATTCTTCTCTCTCTAAACACAGACAGACAGACACATAGACACAGACACAGACACAGACACACACACACACACACACACACACACACACATACTCACATATACATATGTGTGTGTGGTGGGGGAATCACATGACTGATTTTCTAGATCCAAAGGCACAGCTTTGGGTCTTGATACAAACATGGTCTGTGGTCTTTCCCCAGGACAACTAAGAAGGAGGTCACATTGCAATGTTGTCAGGGGAGGGCAGAACTGGCAAAGCCAAGATTGGTCCTCCAGCTGCCCCCACCTCCATCATGGGCCTGTCCCTCCTTTGGTCACAGTCATGACAGCAGTGTCCTCAGGGTCTCTCCCAGCACTTTTTCCCACAGAAGCTGTGTGACGGTGGCATCAGCTCACTTCTGGCTCTCCTGAATCCGGGGTCACCACCTCGGATCTCAGGACCATGGTGTGGGACAAGCAGAGGCTACCCCGCAGGTGTTAGGGGTTGGTGTATGACCTTGGGAGCACTGCCTCTTTCCACCGTTTGCATCACATCCCTCCCTGTGTGGTGGCCACAAAGTGGGCTGGAGTCAGTGAGAGTTTTTAAAAACATCAGAAATAATAAATAAGAACCTGAATAGTGGGTGTACCTTTTTTGTTTTTTTTGGTAAAGAAAATCTTTGCTCCCTAGTTCATTGTGTGGACACAGATGAAGGGAAGAAGACCTAGTACAGTTTGTATACTAACAGCTCATCTCTTTTGTTTTATGTCGCCATGGTCCCTGCCTTTGGTCCTAAGGGACAGCTTTAGAAATCTAAACACTTGGGCAGTGGCAGCTCCACTTGCCTCACCTTGGCTCCAAGACCAGACTTTGCACTTGGAGCATCTGGGCTCACAGCATGGGGTTCACACCTTGGTGGTTACTCACAGGTTCTGTGGCACCCTGAATCCTGTGGGCACCATGTCAAGTGCTTCCTTGTTAAGGAAATTGGTGTTTCTTATCTGCCCAGCACTATTGGTGGAGAAACTAATTAGATAACCTGATAGGTGTTATTTATGCCTCAACACAGAAAGCGAGTTGCTGCAGGACAAGTGTGGTGATGACAGGGAATGATTGCTATTTCAGGGACTCTTCCTAATATTCTACTATTTGCATTTATATGAATTGCTCAGGATAATAAAACACCAAAATATAATTGGAAAAATTCTCTTCCCATTTCTGAACCTAAAACATTTTTAACCTCAGGGGAAAAGGGACTCTGAAAGAGTGTTTGCACTCTGAAAATCATAGCAGATTGCAAGTAGGAAGAGGGACAATTTTCTTTCTAAGGAAAAGTTATACCTCTTGCTTAGGTTTTAGGACTGCCATGCTTAAGACAAAAAAATGTTTCTGAGGCATGTTTAGATAGTCACTAGAGAGGTGACCAAGGATGGCCACTATACCTTCAGGCAAGTAGCAGCATGGTGAGTCATAGTTTCTTGTGCCATTTCCATAGGCTGTAGAGCAAGGCTGCCTTTCTTGAGGTCATACAGGCAAGGGTGAAACCAGGGACCCGATGTACAGGTCCCAGGGACCCCTGCACCCCTTCAGCAGGGGGTGTTGGTAGAGGCCAAAACTTTTAGAGCCTTTACAGCTGAATGAGTGAGGAAAAGCTTTGAAAGCCCTCAAAACACAAGCCTCCCAAGGGATGAGTAAGCTGTTAGTAAATTTCCCTCAGTACTATCTAAGTGTGATTGAGTTCCATTCCTATCTGGAGAGATTTTTTTGGAGGAGAAGGAAATGAGCAGGTGAGAGCTACCGGCCTCTAAGAAGAGAGAATGCTGGTATGGAGGAGGTAAGCATGGGGCCGAAGGGAAGCAGGAGAGGCCAGATGCCCGGGCCCCAGACTGTGCCCACAGCCCACTGCCAAGATTTGCTCAGTCTTGCTCAGTTGTTCTAACTTGGCCAAGATTCTAGAATCTTTCTGAGCCCAAATTTCACCATTATAAGATGGGGTTATTTCTACTTACCTCACAGAGTTGTGTGTTTGTGCATTTATCAATTCACTTGTTGACAAATACTTTTGAGCACTTACTAAGTTCCAGGAGTAGAGTTCTAGAGACTGGAGTAGAGTTCTAGAGTGTCCTAGAGACTGCAGCACTGAAGAGAATGTGACAAAATTATTGGCATGGAGTTAGAGAAATATTTAATACACCTGAACACAGTATATATAAGGAGCTCCCAATAAAATGTGGATGCCTGGCATGAGTTTGTGAGGGATATTGACATTTCTGATCTGCCTAGAAGTATTGGTGCTAAGTTGATAGACTGATAGGTATTATTTAACATGTACATATACATATGATATAGATGACACATACAAATAGCAGGACATATATTCAGGTAGTACAAATGTACTATCACGTGCAATTTTGTATAAATATATGTGTGTATGTAATATTTCAGATGACGATAAGGAGATACAGCAAGGAAAAGAGAAAGGGGTATTGTGGGGAGAAGTGACAATGTAATTTCTGGTAGTTGATAGGGAAGGTATTGCTGGAAAGGATTAGAAGGAATTCCAAAATTCTTGGAACACAGTGAGCATGTATTAATAATTTTTTTTCAATGCTGGGGATCAAACCTAGGGCCTGTGCATGCTAGTCAAGCACTCTAGCTCCGAGCTACATGCTCAACAACGAGTGAGCAGGTAGAGGATGGAAAACACTGGGACCAGATAAGTAGGTGGGTTTCTGACGGGTTCCCTATGAAATTGGCTTTTCCTCTGAGTGACCCGGGAAAACACTGGAAGGTTTTCAGCAAAGAAATACCATTGCCAAGTGTATCTTTTAGCTTTTATGAGTTTTTAAGAATGAGAAATAAACATAGTAAGTTTCAATACAAGTATGAAAAACACCAGGGACAGAGATTCCATTCTTTCCTTGCCTGCTTCACAGCTGTGCCCTGAGGTCAGCCTTTTGGACGTGGGCAAGGAGAAGGTGCTCTCCAAGGTGCTGAGGGCCCGTGGGCTGATAGAGTGGATTCCTGGCCCATTCCAGAAGACTTACCTCAAAGATTCAATGCTATCCTACAGGATTCTTTTTCATGTCAGAGTAAGGAGCACTTTGTTCTTTTGTTCTTACACGTTTCCTGAAGTTTTTACAGAAATACCCCATTTTTTTGGAGAAGATGTGT